GGAGAAGGAATGGAGGAGGAGGAGGAGGAGGAGGAGGAGGAGGAGGAGGAGGAGGAGGAGGAGGAGGAGGAGGAGGAGGAGGAGGAGGAGGAGGAGTGGAGGAGGGAGGAGGAGGAGAAGGAGGAGGAGGAGGAGGAGGAGGAGGAAGGAGGAGGAGGAGGAGGAGGAGGAGGAGGAGGAGCAGGAGCAGGAGCAGGAGGATGCGGGCCCCGTCTGGGGGGGCCTCGAAGGGGGGCGGTCTCCATGCCCTCGCTCCGCACGGCGGGCTCCTTGCGCCCAGGCGGACGCAGCGGAGCTCGTTGCCGGCGTGGGGTTGTTGGAGACCTGGCTGCGGGAGCACGGGGCCAAGGGCGCGCGGCCGCGAGGCGGCCGCCGCTCCTACGGTCGTCGTCGGCGTCGTCGTCGTCGTCGTCGCGAGGACTGCACGACGCCCACTGAGCCCCCGTCCATATGCCATCCACAGTCGGCCGTCGTGGTCGTGGTCGTGGTCGTGGTCGTGGTCGTGGTCGTGGTAATGGTCGTCGTCGTCGTCGTCGTCGTCGTCGTCGTCGTCGTCATCGTCATCGTCGTCGTCGTCATCGTCGTCGTTGTGAGGATCGACGATCGAAGCTCGACGATCGAGGAGCGAGGAGTGAGGCTCGATGACCGAGGCTCGAGGACCGAGGGGTCGAGGATCGAGTTTTCTCAGGGCCTCTGGGCTGCTCGTCGCCACGGCCGGATTTCCTTTTGTATTCTGCCAAGATCGCGCCCCAGAAGGAGAGGCCCCGGGACCGATTTTTGAGGTAGGGCTGCCGCCGCCGTCGTCGTCGTCGTCGCCGTAGATCTCGGAGGACATGATTCTTTCAGCCCGGGCGCTTTTAGAAGATTTCGGCCTCCGGGGGGGGGGCCTCTCGGCGGGCTCAGGGAATAAAACATCTACTCAGGATGGAAAGCCTTCCCCCAAGGGAGGGGGTCGGGACCCATGGGGCCGCGGACTGAAACAAGCAACTGCATCGTCGGATGCCCGTCGCTCGTCGTCGTCGTCGTCGCCGTCGTGGTCGTGGTCGCAGTCGTGGTCGTGGTCGTGGTCGTGGTCGTGGTCGTGGTCGTGGTCGTGGTCGTCATCGTCGTCGTCGTCGTCGTGGTCGTGGTCGTGGTCGTGGTCGTGGTCGTGGTCGTCGTCGTCGTCGTCGTCGTCGTCGTCGTCGTCGTCGTCGCCGTCGTCGTCGTCGTCGTCGTCGTCGTCGTCGCCGTCGTCGTCGCCGCCGTGGCCGTGGCCGTGGTGGTGTTGGTGGGCCGATCCGGCTCGGTCACAGAGCTGCCCCGTCGACCCCCCGGGCGGTCTTCGGGCACTCTCGCCGACCCTCGGCGTCGCTTTCGTCGTGGTGCACTGTAGCGGTCCTCGCCGTCGGTGGAGTGGAGACCCATGCCAAGAAACCCCCTGCTCGCCTCCAGGGTGCCCTGGGTTTCTGGGGTTTCGATGGTGTTGCCATGGAAAGCGTGACGTCCTGGGGTCTCAGGGTTGGGTTTCTTGTAGAAGGTTTCTTGTGGACTGGCCTCCACTGTAGTGGATTCGCCGCCCTCTGCCGTCGCTGCGCCTTTTACCTTAGCGGCTGAAGCCCCCGGGACAAAAAGAAAAAACATGTCTGGCCCTGGGATGCTCTCCAGCGGTTGCGCCTCGTCGGGAGGGGGCTCGGCCGTGTCCGCATCGTCCCCGAACGGCCGCCGGCGAGCCGAGTCGTGCCCCGAAGCCTGGGGGGATCGCCAGGAAGCAGACCCCGATGTCCGACGGCTTTTTCTTTGGTTTCGGCCCCTGTGGCTGGCCGTCGGGCCCCAGGAACATCGAGAATCGATCTGCGGCGATACGCTGTCGGCGTCACCCCAGGGGCGGCGCGCGTGCCGAGAAGTCTCATAGTATGAGCCCCGTGCTGGGCGCTTTCTGGCCACACCGCTCGGGAAACGACATACTACAAGATGGTAGTACTATTTATACGGTTCGGACGCACGCCGCCACGGACGACGTCTAGTGTTAGGATGTCCTTGTGGGTCCCACGCAACCTCAAGGGAAGCCGTCGAGACCTCTGGGGCCGCGTATTCAAAAAAAGCAAATTGGCAAATGTCTTGGCTTCTGGTAAGCGGGCTGGGGCTCAGAGCTCGGCGGACGTCTGCGGCCAAGTGAACCCCAGCGGGCGTCTCCGAGGCCCTAGCGTCTATGGAACACGTAGGAGGAGGAGGAGGAGGAGGACGAGGAGGAGGAGGAGGAGGAGGGGGAGGAGGAGGAGGAGGAGGAGGAGGAGGAGGAGGAAGAGATTGGCGTCGCGGGCAATCCATTAGGACGTTCCAGGGGGGGGCACTCCGTTCGAGGGCATCGGCACGTCTGCAGCCAAGTGAACACCCCTGCCGGGGTGCCCGATTCCCTAGCGTCGATTGGACCCGTAGGGCTAGGGTTCGCACGCAGGGCGATCGCAGGCCAGATTCGTAGCATTTGTGGCCGCACCTTGCATATGCCGCCCGTTCGTGAGAAATCACGGCAGGTGGCTGAGGAGCCTCCTGCCGCGGTTCTGCCTTGCGTTGAAGGCCAACTCATATAGTGCGCTGGAGACGCTGCACACCATACAAACCGCTACCGTAATTTGCCATGGGTTTCCTGGGCCCCAGCATGTTGTACACGCCCTCTGGGTCGAGGCCAGGAGTCTGCACACAATCCCAGGGTCCAAGCTGGCTCTGGCCAGGCATGCTGTTGGTTAGCAGGCCTAGGAAGAGGATAAGCCGTTCCACAGCGTTTCGGAACGCTCGGAACGTTCTGGACCGCATTGAGACGGCCACGGAGTCTGTTGCATCCTTCATCACCGAGCGCGTTTCACTATTCGCACACTGCCTACTCGCAAACGTCCGAAAACACACGCGTGTGCCTCGATGTAATGGGTCGTGCATCCCCCGCGGCGGATGCAGGCCATTTGCGGGTTGTTGAACGCGCTTGTCTCCTTCAGACCCGCTGGGTCTCAGAGATGTTCCCGACCTATGCTCCTCCGACTTTGTCCATGCCCCGCCTTCGTCTCGCTCGGTGTGCACCTGCCTTCTGCGGACCTCGGTGCCTCGCCCACCTCCTTCCACGCCGCCCTTCTTTCCCCCCCTCCCTCCCCCTCCCCCTCCCTCCCTCCCTCCCTCCCCTCCCCCTCCCCCCCTCCCCTCCACATCCCTCCCTCCCTGCTCCTCCTCCCTCCTCTTCCCTCGCTTCCGCCTCTCCTACTCCTCCTCCTTCTCCCCTCCTCCTCCTCCTCCCTCCTCTCCTCCTCCTCCTCCTCCCTCCTCTCCTCCTCCTCCTCCTCCCTCCTCTTCCTACTCTCCCTCCTTCTCTCCCCCCCCGCCCCTCCCTCCCTCCTCGCCCCCCCCCAGCAGACCACGAAGGAGGAGGGAGGGGCGGCACGGCAGGGGGGCCGTGGCGGGAGCGGGCCCTCCTCGGCCCGCCGCCCGCCGCCGCCGCTCGCCCCCCCGAGGCCCTGCGGAGTGCCCCTTCCGCCGCAAGCTCGACGAGCTGGCCTCGGACTCGGGCCCGCCCCGCGCCGCCTCTCGCGGGCGTTTTTTTTTCCTTCCTCCTCCTCCTCTTCCTCCTCCTCCTCCTCCTCCTCCTCTTCCTCTTCCTCCTCCTCCTCGTCCTCCTCCTCCTCCTCCTCCCCCGATCTCTCCGAGGCGGGAGTTGATACATGGCCACCGCCTGGAGGGTCAGTTCTCGGAGCCTCGGCAGGCGGTGGACATGGACATATGTATTCGGGCCCCCGGGGGGGGAAATAAATCCATATCCACCGCCCGCTAGGGCACCGGGACGTCGGTTCCCAGGCGGTGGATATGGATAAATCCCCGCCTCGCAGTCTCCTCAGCGAGCGAGGGGGGAAGCGAGGGGGGAGAAGTTTTTCGGACTCGAGGTTCGAGGTTCCCGCCGCCGCCCGTCTGGGCGTGTGCGCCGGTCCGGCCCGCGCTTGTGATGGCCCGTCGCCGCCCGTCGCCGCCGCTCGCCTGGGCCTGTGTATGCATGTGTATGTATGTATGTATGCATGCATGTATGTATGCATGCATGCATGCATGCATGCATGCATGTACGTATGTATGTATGTATTTATGTATGTATGTATGTATGTATGTATGTATGTATGTATGTATGTATGTATGTATGTATGTATGTATGTATGTATGTATGTGTGTGTATATGTATGTATGTATGTATGTATGTACGTATGTATGTATGTATATATGCATGCATGTATGCATGCATGCATGCATGTACGTATGTATGTATGTATGTATGCATGCATGTGTGTATGAATGAATGTCTGTACATATATATATATATATGTGTGTGTATGTATGTGTTTGTGTATGTGTATGCGTATGTGTACGTGTTTGTGTATGTGCATGTGCATGTGCATGTGCATGTGCATGTGCATGTGTATGTGTATGTGTATGTGTATGTATGTATGCATGCATGTAGGTGTGTATATATGTATGTATGTGTATGTATGTATGTATGTATGTATGTATGTATGTATGCACGTATGCATGCAAGCATGCATGCATGCACGCATGCATGCATGTAGGTATGTATGTATGTATGTATGTGTGCATGTGTGTATGTATGTATGTGTGTGTGTGCATGTGCATGTGCATGTGTATGTGTATGTGTATGTGTATGTATTTATGTATGCATGCATGCATGTATGTATGTATGTATGTACGTATGTGTGTGTATGTGCATGTGTATGTGTAGGTGTAGGTGTATGTGTATGTGTATGTGTATGTGTATGTGTATGTGTATGTGTATTTGTATGTGTATGTGTATTCGTATGTGTACGTATGCATGTAGGTGTGTGCATGCATGCATGCATGCATGCATGCATGCATGCATGCATGCATGTATGTATGTATGTATGTATGTATGTGTGTGTATGAATGCAGATATGTATGTATGTATGTATGTGTGTATGTATGTGTGGGTGTATGTATGTATGTATGTATGAATGTATGTCTGTACATATGTATGTAGGTATGCATGTATGTATGTATGTATGTATGTATGTATGTATGTATGTATGTATGTATGTGTGTGTATGTATGCATGCATGCATGCATGTATGTATATAGGTATAAATGTATGTATGCACGTATGTATGTATGTATGTATGTATGTATGTATGTATGTATGTATGTATGTATGTATGTACATATGTATGTATGTATGTATGTATGTATGTATGTATGTATGTATGTATGTCTTTATGTATGTATGTATGCATGCATGCATGTATGTATGTATGTATGTATGTATGCATGCATGTATGTATGTATGTATGTATGTATGTTCTTCGGGCTCTCTCGGGCCCGAACAAGTCATGCGAGAACACCTGGCGCCCAGGGGCCACGCAGGAAGCCCCGCCGGATTTCGGCACGTGGGGTCCGGGCCCCTCTCGAAGGCTCCTCGGGAGCGAGAGGGCTGAGGCTTCATGGGATTGGGCGAAGGACATGAGGGCACGCCCCCTCCATGCCCGGAGGCACGGTGGCCGATTCCTTACTGCAATCGTGTTTCTTATCGTGTGCGCCATCCTCACGTTCTCGGCGTCGTCCTCGTCATCGCCTCCTCGTCGCCGTCGCCTTCCCGTTAGTTTTTCTTTCGCCCAGGAAGCCCAGTGGATTGGAGGGGCGCTTCCCGTTCTTGTCCGATCAGGTTTGGCAAAGGACCTGAGGACACGCCCACTCCATGCCCAGAGGCACGGTGGCGGATTTCTTATTGCAGTCGTTTTTCTCATCGTGTGTGCCATCCGTAGCCGTTTTGGCTCAAGAGGGCCCAGGGCACGCAGCAGCACCTCCGACGCGCGTGGAGGGCACTCGCATCTGCACGTCGAGCAGCCCGCGGCAGGCGTTCTAAAGTAAAGGCCTCCCAGATGGAGTCCGAGTAGATGGGGTGGGAGGATCGCGCCGCATCGCCGATGTATCGGCACTGCGGTTCGATGTGGAGTCCGATTTGTTCCACGCCCACGTCGCCGATGCATCACCGACGTCGCCAGTGCATCGCCGATACATCGCTGATGCGGCGCGATCCTTCGACCCCATGTGCTCCAGCCCCACTTGGGAGGCCTTTATCTATCATGGGCAAGTTTATCAAGGCTGGCCGCGTAGTTGTGCTCCTCCAGGGTCGCTACACAGGTAAGAAGGCAATTGTTGTGAAGCCGTTTGACGATGGGTCCAAGACCCGTCCATTTGGGCACTGCCTCGTCGCGGGCGTGGACAAGGCCCCCCTGAAGGTGACGAAGACGATGGGCAAGAAGAAGATTGCCAAGCGGACTCGGGTCAAGCCGTTTGTGAAGTACGTCAACTACAACCACATGATGCCCACCCGCTACCAGGTGCCTGCGGAGGTTGGCGTGCAGTCGTGGGTCACAGACCAGCAGATGGACAGCAGCGACGGCCGCGTGGAGGCCAAGAAGCTGATCAAGAACGCCTTCCAGGAGAAGTTCGCCAGCCCTCCCGCGGACAAGTCGGGTAAGCCTTCCAAGGACGTCCTCTACCTCCGGAAGAAGCTCCGCTTCTGAGGGAGCCTGCGCGGCCACCCTCGCGCGCGGCGCGGTCGTGCGGCGGAGCAGGGCCCGAGCCGGAGCGAACACGGGGAGAGAGGGGGTCGCTCGGAGAGGCGGTGCCGGCGCTGGCGGCGGGGCAGCTGCAGCCAAGGCGCTGAGATGAGAACCACTTCGGGCTCGGGAGGGGCTCTGGCTTTCGGGCTCCGGTGTTCGGGCTCGGGTCGGGGAGCCTGGTCTTTATCTAGGCCGAGGTTCGCCGCGGCGAGAGCGATGGCCGGCACGAGGGCTGCAGGGTCGGGGCGGTGCATCCTCGCTCATTGGAGTCAGCCTGGCGCTGGATGTCGCGAGCATCGTGCTCTCCGTTCTTGGGTGTGCCGCGCGGGAATTTTGCAGAGACCTTGTTTTACCAATCGGGTCGGCACGCCCCCCCCCTCACCGCCCTCGCCCTCCTTCTCTTCCCGTTGCCCCTCCCCCCCTTCCTTTTCCGTGTCTTGTGGGCGCTTCGGCCTCAACCCGCGGCATTTGCACGGTGCGCAATTCGTGTCGCAGTCACCGTTGTAAGGGCAGACGTCGTGGTTGATGTCGGTGGGCGAGCTGTGGGTGGTTCAACAGGGCACTACGTCTGTGATTGCCGTCGTCGTCGTCGTCGTCCTCTTGCTCGTCTGCCCGCTCGTCACACAGTTGGGTTACGCCGATGCGATGACGCTCTGCTCATGGCCAGGGCCGTCGTTGACCTTGAGGGATGGCTGAAACCAATCTGCGAACCTGCAGCCAACGCGGGTCTGTGGATGCACGGGGTGGCGAGCCGCAACTACGCATTATGAAGAGTTCGATGCGACGGGCGCATGCGCACGCTGAAGATGAATTCACCGAGTCCACAGGCACTCTGTCCTATTTGGGCGCCGCAATCGGCCGCGATGGCCAGGTCAACGCATGCATAATGGATGACGAGGCAAACTGGCATGCCTGTCGCCTCTTGCAGAAATCTGACGCACACGTGGGACTACACCTCGATCTCTCCAGACAGGAAAGTGGAACAGTTCAGCGCCATTGCTGTCCCGACGAAGTGGTACAGCTTCAGCACCGTCTGGTTGAACGTCGCAGAGCGAAGACGTTTGAACGGGGCCTAAGCCCGGATGCAGATGTCTATCCGTGAGGTCGAACATTATATGGTATCCCGCGTCTAAAATGACGAGGTACACCAGAGAGCAAAACAACTACCCATTACTGACCCGTTGCTGAAGCAAACGTTGGACCTGTATTGCAAAGCTGCCCAAGGCGGGGAGCAGTGCCCACTGCGGGATTCTGTATTATGACCTTGGGCCCTGACGCCATTGAACGACACTTACGGTCTGAAAATCGAGGGGGAGCGGGGGGGGGGCTGTTGGAATGGGCTAACCAACTACACCTACACGCTCTCGAGCACGTGGTGCTGATAGGTTGCGTGCGTTTGCCGATTGAGCAGCTTACCGTGTTCGCCTGAGCGCACGCAGCTCTTACGCGCCGCAGGACGTCTGGTAGACCCTTCATTTCTTTCCCTTTCTGTTCCTTCCCCCTTTCCTCTCCTCCTCCTCTTCCTTCCGTAATCATTTGGGCTAAAAAGGAGTTGAAGCTCAAGCTCCAGGTGTACGCGATTTTGCTATTGTACCTGTTCTCGCGATGTCGATGAGCGTGCTGCTCACGCTGTTCGCCCTGTCTTCCGTGGCTTCTTCCCTCACGCTTCAAGCTGGGGACCAGGCCGTGGACGAATACACCTCTGTGAGCGGCCTCCTGTCCGAAGCAGAGGCGCTGCTGCGGGAGGAGACGGCAAGCGACCAGGAGGCGGCCGACGAGGAGATCGCGCTCTTGCAGGAGCCGTCGGACTCAGACAGACCCAGATCTCAGACGACCTGTCTTTCTATCAATCACGTTTTCTTCTTCGACTTCGGCCCCTGGGGCTCGTCATCGGGCCCAGGGACCATCGGAAAGGGGTCCCTGGGCGCCCCCCGGGGGCGCGGTC